ATATGGTGCTACGAATGCTAAAACTCACTGACATTGCCGACTACGATCCCGCGAAACGTCTGGGAATGTACCGCGTCCACGGTCCGACTTTGGAAATAATTATGCATACAATGAACTCAGGACAAGGTACGTTCCTATTAGTCTTCCTACCAATATGACCAAGTTACGAAAACAAGGTAAAACAACTTCTATAGTTTCATAAAGTTTCTATGGTTCATATTCTCAGAATTCGTTATTAATCTGAGTTAGTAGACATAATGAACTCGCTTGATAAGATTTGATAGCGTATCAATATATTGCGGACACCTCTGGAGTAGCATGAGAGACACATAAAGTAAATTATGGATGTTTTAGCAACCCCTAAGGGTAATCGTTTTTTTGAAGAATTAAGGATCAAGTCGATAAGTATCGATTAGTGAGATGTCTTGGTTCAAACAAGACTTTACAAGTATAGAGATACTATACAACTTTCAAGCTATTTTACATTGTCCGTAGGCAAAATCAAATATACGATTTTAATCTGAGAGACTACCATGTCTGAAATACAAATTCTTAATAAATTTGAGAAGCCCGATCTTAGGCTTTGTCACATTTATTAATATTAGATTGGAGACCTAGAATACAAATATCCACAATTGTTGTCCATCCCATGCATAATGATAGACATATGCTTTTCCAATTATCCACCGAAGCCGAATTCAGTTATCTTGTTCGGTAATGTGAATATCTCATTAAGATAATGTCAGTATTTTCCCCTTCAAGGCTAAGCATTACAGATTTTGAACGGTCATAAAATCAACGATAAAGGCGAAGTAATGAAGCCCTCTGACAGAAAATCTGTCTTACTGGTAGACAATAGATAGCCGGCATCAGAGAGATCAACCCAGGGCAGTGGAGGACATAGCATTGGCAGTTCCGTCGGTTGAAAAGATAATCGCGTGGCCCCAGCATCGTGATACCACTTGATGATAAGAGGATGAACCTGGAATAATGATAAAATTAATGGCTGAATTAAAGTAAGACTAGTAAATTTTAATGTTGGTTTTATCAGAACAACTTTTAGGAAAGCAAGGTTATGTGTAAATCAATGGAAGCATACGCTCTACTCATATCATTGTGAGAAAATTCGACTACTAGTCCTTCATTACATCTCGTATAGTAATAATGAAATATAAAAAGTTGAATAAGATCAAAAACTATACAGAAAGATGCATTGCATCTAGAATCGTACTTTTAATTGTTTCATGATAACGTTGGAGTCCTCGGTGAGCACTTCAAAGACCAAGGGTACCTCTGAGGAATCGTCACTAATGCTATTTGTGGTTTTCAAATTAGGCTGAGGCTGTCCATGTGGCCGTTTTAGCATAAGGGATTGTACTCTGCTACGCTTGAAAGTAAGCCGGTTGTAGAGCAAATTATAGAGCTGCTGACCGACCATAAATGTAATACTTGAGCCCCAGACAGGCCAGTCCTGATGGAGACTAGGCCCGCGCATTAACCCAGCCAACTGGGCGACTCTCCACTGCTGGCGAGGGTGCTGGGGTAGATCGGGCGGCCGGTGGCCATTGTGAGAGGACAAAACGGATGGATTGTCGGTTATAGTCTGTTTGGATGATAGTGGCAGATGAATGAAGAGACGGGAGAAATCAGCGTAGACGCGAGCCATCTCGTCATCCAGTCCATCTATTCGTCGTCGGTTGAGGCGGCAAATATGCTCCGCACAGTTACCCATATATATTATTACTCGATTAGCATGTACGTGCTGTAACTCTGTGTCGCAGATTAGACGATCTATAGTCTAAAAAAAGTTTAGCCAACTGGTAATAAAACGCCATCAGAAGAGAAGCATTGAGAGAAGTTGACAGACTCAATAGGTAGAGATAGTATAGCGGATATTAGAAACCTATAGAGATGTAGACAAGTAATTTCATATTGCCAATTGATGTTGAAGAGTAGTGGTAAGCGTAAAACTTTACCGAATTACACAAGCCAAACAATAGTACTAATAAAAATTGAGTAAATTGACTTTTAAACAAAGCTGAAGATAGAAAAGTCCAAGTCGTCTAATAAAAGCAACTTTTG